TTTGAGTTGGAGTCTCACTCTGTTGCCCAGGCTGGAATGCAGTGGCACGCTCATGGCCACTGCAGCCTTGACCTACTGGGCTCAGGGGATCCTTCCGCTTCAGCCTTCCAAGTAGCCAGAACTATTTTACACAAGCTATTTTTTTTTTTAATTTATTGTAGAGACGAGGTTGGTCTTGAACCCGTGGGCTCAGGCAATCCTACCACCTCTGCCTCCCAAAATGCTGGGATTACAGGTGTAAGCCACGGCACCTGGCTTTGTTCTGACTTTCTTTTTTGGGGAGTCTCACTCTGACACCCAGGCTGGAGTGCAGTGGCACACTCACAGCCACCGCAGCCTCAACCTACTGGACTCAGGCGATCCTTTCACCTCAGTCTTCCAAGTTGCTGGAACCACAAGCATGTGCCACCATGCCTGGCTAATTTTTTGATTTATTGTAAAGACGTGGTCTCACCATGTTGCTCAGGATGGTCTTGAACCCCTGAGCTCAGGCAATTCCCTCACCTCTGCCTCCAAAAGTGCTGAGATTACAGGCTTGAGTCACCGCACCAGGCGTGTTCTGACTTCCAACCATAGCACACACAAGTCAAGTTACTGTACCTCTCCTGTATTATGAGTTTAAGAACTCAGACATGGATTGCCTGAGCCCGCGGGTTCGAGACCCACCTGGGTAACTTGGTGAGACCTCATGTCTACAATAAATCAAAATGAGCCAGGCGTGGCAGCGCGCACCTGTAGTTCCGGCTACTTGGAAGGCTGAGGTGGAAGGATCGCCGGAGCTCAGTGGCCGGGAGCGGACACTGTACTCCAGTCTGGGTGACAGCGAGACTCCAACTAAAAAAAAAAGACCAATTAATGGTATATTGAACCTACACCCTGCCCCAACCAAGTGTTCACGGACCTGCAGGAAAAAGTAAAGAAGAACTTGAGGACACTGAAGGATTCCACTTTAATTCTGGGGAAAAGTAGGCCTTCACCAAGCAGAGAATACAAGGCAGCTCACACCATAGCATACCAGGGAGGACACTCAATTCATGAGTTTATGTAGTAATTTGTGTGCTTGGTCACCATGTTTTCCGCTTCTTTGCTCCAGAAGGGTCAGTTGTATCCTTAGGCCTCCTTATTTAGGACTAACAGAGGTTAGCCTGGGTAGAGTGTTAGAGGATGTAGCGGTCAATACTGCACTTGACAGAGTAGTGAGTGGGGTTGAAAAGTGGTTCCCAAGGGAGGAGGAATTGGCAGTTGAGGGAAACTGCCAGGGGAGGGAGAGGCACACCTCATCAACAAGGGTAACTGCATAATCAGTGTTTGTGTGCTTAATCCTGAATTGTACCCCACATCTTTATAATTTAAAAAAAGGTGGTCCCCAAAAAGAGACGTCCATTCCTAATCCCCAGACTCTGTGAATTACCTTATTGAGCAAAAAGGTCTCTGCATATACAATTAAGGATCTTGAGATGAAAAGATCATCCTGGATTATCTAGGTGGCCCTAAATCCACTGACAGGTGTTTTTTAAATAGAAAGATTGTGACAGACAGAAAAGGAGAAGACCCAGGAGAAAGCGATGAAAGAATGGAGGCAGAGGCTAGAGCAATGATGGGAACAGTCCAAGGAACGCCAGTGGCCAGCAGGAGATAGAAGGGGCAAGAAATGGACTCCCCACTAGATCCCTGGAGAGTATAGCTCTCACCTTAATTTCAGACTTCTGGTCTCCAGAACTGTGAGAAAATAATCTCTATTGTTTTAAGCCACCAGGTGTGGCAATTTGCTATGACAGCCACAAGAAACTGATCCACTTAGGATAGTGCTATTCCTATTGCTTCAATTTCTTTTATCATTTTTTTCAAAAAGAACATATATTGTTTCTAAGTTAAAAACAAACTAGACTGGCGTGGTGGCTCATGCCTATAATCCCAGCACTTTGGGAGGCTGAAGTGAGAGGACTGACTGAACCCATGGGTTCGAGACCAGCTGGGCAACTTGGCGAGACCTCATCTCTAAAATCAAAAATTTAAGCCAGGCTCGGTAGCTCAGCCTGTAATCCCGTGCCTTTGGGAGGCTGAGGTGAGTGGATCGCCTGAGCCCGTGGGTTCAAGACCCGCCTGGGCAACTTGGCGAGACCTCATCTCTACAATAAATTAAAAAATCAGCCAGGCGAGGTAGTGTGCGCCTGTAGTTCCAGCTACTTGGAAGGCTGAGGTGGAAGGATAGCCGGAGCCCAACAGATCGAGGCTGCAGTCTGGGCGACAGAGTGAGACTCCAACTCAAAAAAAAAAAATTTAGCCGAGCATGGTGGTGCATGCGTAAGGAGCAACACCCGACAGAAAGGGTAGTAACTGGGGTTACATGGAATAGACCTGTCCCTAAGAGACAGAAGGGGAGGCTGATCAACTCCTGGAGTCCACTAGTAGTCTCAAACCTGAGGGAAAGCGAAAGCGTTAGAGGCAGTGGAAGGAAACACTGTCCTGAGACGAAACCATAGACTCCAAGGTACTGGACGGTTGGAGTTGTGTAATTGTGTATAAATGAGATGACCAGCGGAAGGGGTCTGACCCAACCAAAGGGCTGAAGCAAATGTTGAGTCCTAACCTAAGCCAGTAGCAACTTCATACAGATGAAGGCGGTCCCACCAGCCCTGTATTAGGGCAGGTCTGGGTTGGGGGTTTATACTAACCTGCCAGTTGCTAAGAGGTGTCTGAAATATCTCCAAAAGATGAAGCAATTATTTCCCTTACCCCTTTTTCCTCTTTCGGTGTGACTGATGTCTTTTAGGAGGAGAAAGATGGGTGAAACACAAAGTAAAAACACCCCCACTTGTCAAAAATGTATAGGGGGACTTAAATAAGAAACATTTTCCTAAGACAACAACTGCAGGCTCTAGGTACAGCAGTAAACACCCTGCATCACCAAGGCAGAGAAAGGCTGCCAATAAGTTTTACCAAAAATACACACCCCTTTAACCCCAGAGACACAGTGTAAGTAAAGAAATGGAATGTATAGCCCCTAAAACCTCTCTGGAGTGGCCCATTTACTGTCCTTTAGTCCACCTCAACTGCAGTCAAGGTTGCTGAAGTGATCCCCTGGATCCACTAGAGCAGAGTTAAACCAGCTGCTCAAACCTGGGAGTGTGTGACTGACCCCTCAGTCCCACGCAAACTGATCATCCGGAAAAAAGGGACAAACAACGCACTCCAAAGGTCGAAAAAGATCTGCAACCCTGCTCTAGTCACTCCAGGAGCTGACTAGTCAATGCACGGCAAAAGCTTGAGGAAACTGCGGCTGCAATACAGATAAATTGTGTTTTTTTATTGTTTCTCTAAACCAAACCTTTAATGTACTGCTGCTCCTTGTCTCTATCTATCGTTACAGCCTTCGCCCTAGTCTTTTTTTTTTTTTTGCGTTGGAGTCTCACTCTGTCGCCCGGACTGGAGTGCAGTGGCCATTCTGGGCCACCGCAGCCTCGACGTGCTGGGTTCCGGCGATCCTTCCGCCTCAGCTTTCCAAGTAGCTGGCACTACAGGCGCACGCTACCATGCCCGGCTCATTTTTTTTTTAATTTATTGTAGAGATGAGGTCTCACCAAGTTGCCCAGGCGGGTCTTGAACCCGCGAGCTCAGGCAATCCACCCACCTTGCCCTAGTCTTTGCTACAGGACTAGC